GAAGGTCAGCCTGAGGTTGAGTTTTCTCATAATTCAAGGGATGATGTTACTATTGACTTCACAGGGCTGCGGGGAGGATTAAATGAGGCAGCAGGGTTTAGCACTCAGCCCAGCGCCTGGCATGGGGTGGGTGTAGAGTATGTGCTGCTGGCTGATGTTGTGATATTAAGTTCGCCTTTGTCAGACTGTCAAACATTTGCATCCTGATTTCTTTTTCCTGGGTGGCTGAGACAGAGGAGGGGTGACAGGTGGGCTGCCCTGGAGCATTTCCTACTGCCCATCCCATGTCCTGTGCAGTGCTTGCAGAATAGGGAGAGGATCCCTACATAATGTGTGCGGAAGCCAGACTGTGCTTCTACCTGCCACGGGGTCCTGGTTCCCACCAGTGACTAGCAGGACGGCTGGCAGCCAAATCCACCAGCCTGAACTGATCTCTGCATTTAGCTTTGGCATCATTCTGGGCACAGGCTCCTCGTCTCCTGGTGGGTGGTGGGAAAGCACCTGGATTGAGTGTGTGATCCCCTTTGGAGGGGACTAGAGGCAGGGGGAAATCCACAAACCCGCCCCACAAAGAGCGCCCTCCGAGCCGGCTCCATCCTCTCTGTTTCCATTATCTGTCTCTCCGCCTCTCTCACTTTTGTTTCATCTTGTATTTGATCTTTCCGGTTAGAAAAGGCCGTCTCTAAGTTTCAGATGGCAGGTGCCATGGGGAGAGGAGAACAGAGATTCTCTCTCTGGGGTCTTTTGAAAAGCAGGGAGGGAAAGTAGGCAGGGCTGGCCACTATCGAGAAACGTGCATTCCTTTCTTGATTCCTTTCATCGTTTAATCACCCACTTGACAAATGTTTATTGAGCACTTCCTGGCTCCGGCTCTGATCCGGATAGAGCAGTGAGCATACAGACTGTGTTGGAGCAGATCAGCAGGCGGCTACTGCACGGTCTGAGATCCACACACGAGCCTGGGAATCCCGCTTGGCCCCTACTCCCTGAACTGCCTTGGACCAGAAGCTAGGCCTTGCTGGGTCTGTTCCCCACCTTTGAATTATCTCGGAGACTTTTGATGAGAGTAAAGGAGAAGAGGCAGAGGAAGCACCCAGCACAGTGCCCGGCACATGGCCCGTGCTGATGCTTGATGGCTGTCCTTGTTCATCAAGTGATGGCTTCTTGGGAGAGGGAGCGATCGAGTACATGAGCATCACTTGGACAGGAATCTCCAACCCCAGCGGCATTCCGAGGACAGCTTTGTCCTTGGCTTTGGAATAGGTTGGTGGGAGGTGCTGAGCCAACATGTGTCCGCCTTTCCGTGGAGTTGGCTCAGAATCCCTGGGGCGTGGCCCACATCTGGAGCGCGCCGATTCATCATCCATCCCCCAAATCCTCTCTCGAAGCCACGTATAGAAAGATCTGCAGGAGGAGTCCCTATGGCCACCAGAACAAAGCAATCCCTGTTGGGTGAGTTGTGCCCTCTTGGGTTTCATGGGTAGAGAAGGGACTAGAAAGTTATTGAAAGCCTTCTCGGGGCCAAGCACTCTGTTGGGTATCTTCCATGTAAGTGTAAACACATCACCCCATCCCTTTAGCCGTATGAAGAAGTGCTTGGGGTTTTATGATTCCATTTTACAGACGACGAAACTGAGGCTCAGAAAGGTGGGGCAACTTGCCCAAAGACTGGAGCTGGGAATGGCGGCAAGCAGGAAAGGGACTCAGATTCTGTCAGGTCCAGTGTCCATGTTCCTGTCCCTGCCTCAGGGGCCACCTTTCTCAGGCCCCATTGAAGAGGCTTTGGCTTCCACCCATGTCTGAACAAAGATAGAGGAACCCATGGGGTTGGATCTTGTGCACCAGCCAGCCTTCAGGGAACTGGAAGCAAAAAGTGCATTTTCCTGGCAGAGCTCCCTGTGTGCTCCCTGGATTTCCCCAGCAAGATGCTGCTCAGCGAGCACACTAGGAAATATCCCCCTTGTCAGGCAGGATTTAGAGTCAGGTTGAGGCCGTTCACTGCTCCTCTTTTCAGGGCCATTGCCAATTCCCTTCCTGACTTCTCCCCAGCTCAGCGAGGTACAGAAGATCACTGTAGGTGGAGGGTGGGAGGAATATTTTGGAGAGTGGCAGAAGAAGGTTGACAGGTCAGGAGAGCGACAGGACATCGCCCATCTAGAACATTATCTCTTATTTAATTCCCTTCCAACCCCCAACACAGGAAGAAAGAAGTCTCATTCAGGGCTAGCCATCTTTAAAATCTCTAATACTCTCTAATCTTGCATTTTGACAAAGAGAGGGCAAACATGGCCTGGGTGCTCAGTCGTTAAGCGTCTGCCTTCGGCTCAGGTCATGGTCCCAGGGTCCTGGGATCGAACCCTACATCAGGCTCCCTGCTCCGCGGAAAGTCTGCTTCTCCCTCTCTCACTCCCCCTGCTTGTGTTCCCTCTCTGTCTCTGTCTCTGTCGAATAAATAAATAAAATCTTTTAAAAAAACACAAAAAGTGAGAGGGCAGACCTCCTGCTCCCAGGTAACTGTATCTAATTAGAATCTAAAGATACTTTTGTGCTCATATTGTATTCATTTCTCCTTTCTGTTTGTGACAAGTGATAATGGTGTTGGTTTGCAAACTGGCCCCCCCTCATGGAGGGAAAGGGAAGGTCAAAGAAAGCCGCAGACCACTCCCCATTGGTAGGCTGCAGGTGTAATAAGCAAGGAAACTTACATATGAACCTTGCCTCCACTGGCCAGCCCTGTACATTTCTGCACCCACCCACAATCTTAAAAGTTTACACAGAGTCACATAGTCAGTGCAGATGGTCTCAACAACATCTTCCTCACTCAAGGCTGGGTACTTGAAGATGGCTCCTGCTGGGCAAACGTGGGCAGAATGTCCGTTTCACACGGGAGGGGGTGAGGAGTCACCTGTTGTCCTGGGGCCAGCCTGAAGGTCAATGGGCGGTCACATTCTCTCAATGGCTCCCTCCAACAGTTGGGTTCTCATTTAAGATAATGCTATAACATTTCCTTTCACAACGTATTTAGTTAAGTGAAAAAGGTAAGTCCATTTTAAAGAAAGTCTGATCTAGGGTCACAAAGATATGGCAAATGTCCTAAAAATGGTATTTGACGGGTTGATTTTGGTGAAATAGTAGTTCTAGTACTTAGTGTCCATCTGATTTCTGGTGATGTCTCTTAAGTCAGTTTTCTCATCTGTAAAACGGGAATGACAAGACTGCTTTCTAGGACCTTTGTGAAGATTTCATGATGATGATGATGATGATGATGATAAGAAGTAATCACAGCTACCATGCATGTACTGATTTTTTCACCTGTCACATCTGGGACTCGGATGCAGGCTTTCTGACTCCAGAAGCTATGAGCTGCACAAAGGTGACATGTTGAATAAAATAGGGTCAGTGAGTGGTGACTGCTTTCATCACCGCCATCATCACGTTCTTCATCATTTTTGCAAGTGGCAGCACTTTTTATTAACTGTGTTACCTCCCCGAGACTCAGTGTTATCATCTGTAAAATGGGAAACCTCTCTTGTGAGATCAGTGCTGAGTGGCTGGCACCGAGGAGGATGTCAATAAGCATGGCAGTTTGTGGACCCTCAGTAACCCTGGGGCCAGAGCTCCTTTCCCTTGAGTAGCGAGTTCCACATAAAGTCTTTGTCCAAATGTCCAATTTTGCCTTAAACAAGGCTGCTTCTTCAAGATATCTTCTTGAAGAACCGGGCCCTTCTGACCTCTTTCTGTTGGATTGAGAAATCTGTTGGCAATTGTGATTTTTATTTCAAAGAAGGAAACACATTTATGGGAAGATAAACAATGGGAGGAGATTCTTTAAGGATAGCACCATTATTTGTTTTAATCAGCCATTAATTTTTTATTTGGATTACAAAATTGAGACACAACCCCTGCAGAAAATTTAGAAAATACAAAATCCCCTTATCCAGCTAGGACTGTTAATATTTGGATATATTTCCTTTTTACTATTTTAGTTATTTACTTATTTATTTAAGAGAGAGAGAGAGCAAGGTGGGGGGGCAGAGGGAGAGAGAGAGAATCTTAAGCAGACTCCACACTCAGTGTGGAGCCTGATGTGGGGCTCAATCTCACAACCCTGAGATCATGACCTGAGCTGAGATCAAGAGTTGGACGTTCAACCGACTGAGCCACCCGGGGGGCCCCTTAGTATTTTATTTTACAGCACTTTAGAATGATTTACATAGTTGGCATGATACTCTAGTACAGTTTTCTAAAGCTCTTCCTTGGTTCTTTAGGTAGCCATCTCCTTCTCACCTTTCATAACCCAGTTCAGATATCACATCCTCAGATAGAGCCCTCTCTGACAACCATGGATCCACAGGGATGCTCTCAGTTTCTCTTGACCTCATCTCTTGTTTTTATTTTCTCCTTAAGGGGAAAAACTTGATAATATTATCACCTGAATTTATCTTATTCATCCATTTGTTTACTTATTTATTGTCTTACTCTAACCTCAATAGATCATAAGCTCCATGAGGACAGGCACCTCATCTGTCTTGCTCATCATTGATTTCCCAGTGGCGCAGTTCTTGTCACATAGTAGGAGCTCAACAAGTGTGTTTTGAGTAAATGGGTGGGTGGTGAGATGGTTGGGTGAGTGGCTGGGTGGGTTGTTGAATGGATAGGTAAGTGGGCAGGAGGGGATAGTGGATGGGTGGATGGATAGGTAGGTGGATACGTGAGTGGACAGATTACACTTTTACTATCAGTTCCACAATTCCACATTTAGAGGGTCCATGTGATCATTTTAATTGTTCTGAAAAAGTGAACAATGCAAATTATGAGGAAGTAGGATAAGCATGTCTCTTGGGCAACCTGACCCCTGTCCAGGCCGGGTGTTGCGGCTCCCTGCTGAGGGGGGGTAGTCCAGAGGTTGGGCAGTGGTGAGACCCCTGAGGTCCTCTTGGGAGCCCACCCACTCCCAGGACTTCACCACCATACTTGTGCTGTGTCCCTCTTGCAGTGGGCCGGAAGCAGTTCATGCGGTTTGAGTGGGCAAACCATGCAGCTGAGGCCTTGGGCTGTGAGTACGAGGAGCTGAACACGGCCACCTTCAAGCACCACTTGCGACAGATCATCGAGCAAGTGACATCTGGGCCGAGCCGACGGGGCCTTGAGGAAGAGGAGACCAGCTCAGGTGCTGTTTCTCTGGGTGGTCTGGGTTCCCCCCTGGGCCAGGCCATCAGATGCTCCAACACGCCTTCACCTACTCATCAGGACCTGCTATATGCAGACCTTCTAGGTGCAAGGGAGGCCCCTGTGGGCAGAAGTGGACTTGGTTCCTACCTGCACAGGGCTTGTGGCCAACTTGCGCTGTCCAGGGTCCTGAAGGTTCTGCTGAAACCTGGGAGGGCACCCTGTGCTATGGAGAGGGGACACTGTGAACAGTGCCAAGGGGCCAACACTTTTCCATTGTTGAGCCCCTATCTTGTCCAAGGAAGGCTGGCCTTCCAGTTTGAGGCACAGAAATAAGGCTGGATGGCTAGAGGGGCTGGGAGGCTAGTAGATGAGGCCAGTAGATGAAGGGTGGAGGGTGATCAGCTCATGTAGGACTCTGCAAACTAGAGTTTTTATGCTCAGACCCATGAGAAACCATGCAAAGGCATAGGCAGGGAATGCCATGATTTGACTTATTCTTCGAATGGCTTAGCTAAGGGGAAGCCTGGGGAATGGGTGGGAGAAGGGAGGCCATGCAGGAACCTACACAGGTTGCCTAGGGAGATACTGGTTGTTGCACAAGGACGTGGTGGTGGAGCTTGGATGGGAGGGACATGTTCAAGGTCTGCTTCACATGTAGAGATGATAGCATGGGCCTGGGGGGGGGTGGATGGGAAAAGAGGGATCAGGACAGCTTCTAGGATTTTAGCCTAGGTGGCTGGAGAAACAGGAGTGCTTTGAATTGATGTGGGGGGAAGCCAAAGGGCTTTGTATGGCACCCGCTGGAGTGTGTTCTGCCGGGTCTCAAATCTGCAACCGCCACTAGCTAGATGCTTTGGCTGCAGGAGGTGAGGGCAGAGGGACCTCCCGGAGCCCCAGGAGTCTCTGAGAACTAAGAGTGACTGTCCCAGAGACTGCAGAGTCTGGCATTAGTCGCAGTGTTTTGAACCGTGGTTTTGGGGCTCATCTCTTAGAGGCCCCTGAGGTCCTCAGAGCTGCTCCACTCTAGGGATCTCAGCTTGGTGGCTAATGTCGCTGGGAAGCCACTAGCCTTTTGTTTGCTTCTAGGTCCAGGTATGAGCTGTAGTCGGCTTACAGTTCCTCCTCCTCTCTGAAACACATGCACACGCCCCACAATCATACACATAGAACACACACACCACATGTCCATGGACACACACCACACAGGCAGGTATACACACCACACAGGCACACACTGCAGGAGACACACAGACGTGCACAGATAAATGAGCATACGTGCACTCACATTCAGATATTAACACTAATTACCTCTCAGGTCAAGGTATCAAGGGTAGTTGAGAAGCAGACAGGGGACCAGCAGGCTTAGGAGACATGCTGAGAGGCTGTGGGTTGCCTAGCAACCGCCCTAGTTGGGGGTGGAGCTACCAGAGGGAGGGGAAGTGCTATGGGGCCACAGGGGGCTGCCTGGAATGTACAAGCAGGACTGTGTCTCCAGCCCCACTGAAGATGTGAAAATCATGTTTCTGATTCTGGGGATGGAACCAGCACCAAAGGGTCAGGATTTCCGATCTGACCCGCCCCTCCCAAATTCTCACTCTGCTTTGTTCCATGCACCCTCATCAAGGCTGGCTATTTTAAGGGGCCGTGTGTGTGTGTTTAAACAAAACTGAGACCATGACTATATTAATCGTTTGTGAAGCATTTTTATTCCTCCTAACGTGACAGGTAGGCGCTTTCCCCCGCTCATTCAGTACGCGTCTATGCCTGGCTTTAAGCACTCCTTTGTACGGACTACAAATTATCTAACCCATTTGCTATTGTTGGATATTCAGGTTGTTTAAAAAAAAAAAGCAATTTTCATCCAATTTAATCAACAATCAGGAGAACGTATGTACCCAGAAATCTTTGTTTCTCTGAATATTTCATTAGGATAAAAGCCCAAGAATGAAATTATTAAGTCCAAGCATATGAACATTTTATAGCTTCTGACACAGAACTGCCAAATTTCCCTCCAGAAAGGGGGAAGAACAAACATTATCCGAGTGCCTACTATGTACCAGGCATTGGGGGTTTGGGAGCCAACGTGGTCCCCATCCTTGGGTTGTTCCCAGCCTGGCGCCAGTTCGGGGGGGGGGGGCTGTTGTTAACAGCTAACTCCACAAGTAAAAATATACTGAGCTCAGTGCTGTAAAGGCAGGGAGGCTTTGTCCTTCTGTGTCTGGCCTGTTTCACGTAGCCTAACGTTCTCTGTGTTCATCCACATTGTAGGGAATGGCTGGATTTTCTTTTTTACGACTGAATGATCTACTTCATGTCCCCATTTATATGTGAGATCTAAAATAGTCACACTCATAGAAGCAGAGAGCAGAGCGGTGTTGCCCAGGGCTGAGGGGAGGGGGAAAATGGGAGAGAATGATGGAAGGGTAGATAGTTTCTTTTGTGCAAGATGAATAAACCCTAGAACACCGATGAATAAGTAGACGAATAAGACGACCAGTGGATGAGTATGTCCACTGCGCAGCATAGAGCTGCTAGTTACCATGCTGTATTGTACACTGAAAATTCTTTTTAGAGGGTAGATCTTATGTGAAGTGTTCTAATCACACACTTAGGCACAAAGAAGGAGGGAGGAAACTCTTAGAGTTGACAGGCTTAGGGTATTGTTCCGGTGACCTATACTTATCTTCAGGCTCATCAGGATGTATACATTAAATAGGTAGGTACGGCTTTTGGTATGTCAGTCATATTCTAGTCAAAAACTAATTAAAGAAAAAGGAGCAAGGTAGGACTGGGAATTGGCTTAATAGGGGTGGTAATCAGGGCAGGCTCCCCTGAGGAGGTGACATTGGATTGATCCCCGAGGGATGAGCAGGAGCGCTCGTTGGAGAAGAGGTAGGGCCAGGTGACACAGAACCTGGTCAGTCCTGATAAGACACTTGAACTTGATTCTAAGAGCGTGGGTACATCATTTCAGCAGTGGAGGGATGTATGGAGGGAGGGGGTTTCTCTGAGGCCATCAGCAATGCCTGGGGAGTGTTGTCCTTGGCCCCAGGCAAGGTCCTGACCACCGATATCCACCCTTCCCTCTCTCCCTCTCCAGGGCTCAAGATGACTGGCGCAGAGTGTGTGGAGGGGATGGCCTCGGGCCTGTACCAAGAGCTCTTTGCAGTTATTGTCTCACTCATCAACAGGTAACGACTCTTCTGCAGATACACAAATGAGCCCAAGCACTGGGCACTTTAGCACAGTGGGGTTTTTGGGGGGGGCCGGGGAAGAGTGAGCTTTTGAGCCGGGTAGTAGTGCTGGGTTTAAATTCCCCCTTTGGCAGCCCAAGGCAAATCAGTTCAGCTTTCTGACCTCCCCTTCTGCACCTGCAAAAGAGCTCTGTCCCCCAGGGCCATGGCGAGAGATTAAAAGAGATAATGTATATAAACAATTCTTCCTGATAGCGATCATAAACCACTGACAATGAAAGCAAACAATTTGGGGGGCCACCCCTGCTAAAGTAAAACAATGGCCGGTGCTCCTGGTTTCACTGGTCTTGCATCATTGACTCTGCACATCAGCCCATTTTACAGCTGAGCTAACGGAGGCACAGAGAGGTGGGGCTGGAAGGCAGCCACAGTGCTGGGCTCCCACCTCACACCTTCACGTTTGCCTGAATAACCCGCCACACCGCTCTGGTCCATTTCTTTTTAAAATTTTCTGCGGAGCGTGGGGTGCAGCCAGGGTCTGGTTCTGGAGGGAGCCAGGACGTGTCTCTGAAATGCACCTACCAGGCTGCAGGGGCCGGGAGCTGGATGTCTATCACCGTAAGGGCTTCCCACCCTCCTCCCCGAAGGTGGGAGGCATCATGAGGCTTCCGACATCCTGTTAGCCCGGCTGAGGCTGGTGCGGAGCGACAGGGCAGCTGGGGCTCTTGGATGACCCTGGGACACGGAATCTGCCTGCTCTCCTATCACTGGAGCAATTACCATCTGAGGCCACAGACACAGTGTCTAGAAACCAAGGGGGTCATGCGTGCTTAGAGGAAGGCGTACTGGGAGTGGGAAATGAACCGCTGGCGAAAGAAGCTGCCTCAGCCCACGGAGGGCGGCTGCTTCATCGCATCCTTTAAACTGCATCTCGCTGATGCCGAACCCACTCTCCTAGCACCTACGAGCCTCTCGTAGACGCCTGGCTTTCTGAGCATTAACTGACAGTTTTCATGCATGCATGTGTGGTGGCTGATCTTCTTGGCCCCGTGATACAGAAGGAAAACCTTGGCAGGTCGTGCAGAAGAGCTAAGGTTGAAATAAGCAGCCTGCAGAGCATAGGGCCGATCGTGATAATAATCATAATATCAGGCCACCTTTACTGAGCACGAACCCCACCGCCAACCTGGCCCTCGGAGCCTGGATGTCTCATCACCTCCAGCCCTCCTGGCAACCTTCTGGGTTGTGGCCATCCTTGACCCTTTCCCGGCTGAGGCCCAGAGAGGTTGGGTAGCTCTCCCAAGACACACAGGCCCTCTGTTGCAGAGGGAGGGTCGGAGCCCTTGTGGGATCGTCTCTAACAGCTCTCAACTCCTGCATGTTGATGCCAGTAATCCCTTCTCTCTCCACCCTGACAGATTCATCAAAATGATGCAAGGCGGTGGGGGCTTGAAAGAATCCTCATTTAACAGTTGGGGAAACCTTAGCTCAGAGAGGTTGAGTAACTTGTCCCAGGCCACACAGCCCGTAAGTGGTGAGCCTCATTTTGGCGCCAGATCTACTGGATCCCCACACCCACCCAGCGTGCGGCCTCAGTTTCGCCGTATCTGCGATGGTGGGGTGGGAGGCTTGGGCCAGCTGGGCTCTAAGATTCCACGTGGTCTTGAGGCCTCCCCCATCTCTCCCCAGGTCCTTCTCTTCCCACCACCTCTCCATGGCCTCCATCATGGTGGTGGACTCTCCGGGCTTCCAGAACCCGCGGCACCAGTGCAAGGACCGGGCTGCCACCTTCGAGGAGCTGGGCCACAATTACGCTCATGAGCGCCTGCAGCTGCTTTTCTACCAGCGGACTTTCATGTCCACCCTGGAGCAGTACCGGCAGGTAGGCCTGGGCTCCGTGGAGGGCGGGAGGCCAGCTGGCGGGGGTGGGGGGGAATGGTCAGGTCCTTCAGTCACCCTTGGCTTCATCCCGTTCGGCCCGCCACTGAACGAAACACTAACTCCAGGCTCCCCAGCTCTCTGCTGCTCCCCTGCCTCCATGCACGGCTCCCTACAGTTCTCCCAGGGAACTTGGGGCTCCCCAGGCCTTGCTCCCCCGGCTGGTCCCCTCATTAGGGTGACCTGTTCCTCCTCGCCCACTTTGCCCCAGCTGAATGCTCCTCCTCCCATGTGGCTCACATCTTCCCCGTGGAAAGCCCTTCATGCTCTGGGGGTGGGTGAAAATTCTGGCTGGGAGGGTTTGCCCGGCCTTTGGATCCTGGGGTGGCAATACCTAACAAAGCCCCAGATGCACTTCTCTCCTAGGAACTACCCTCCAGACGCTGGGAGCACGAACCAGGAAACACGGGTAGACACGTTCCAGCCTTCTCTTGTTTTAAAAAAACTTAAATGGAAATATTACACTTGCTCAGAAAATGCACACACCAGTAGCATACAGCCCGATGAATTTATCCAAATGAACACACTCACGCACCTGCCCCCCACCCAGGGGAAAAGTTGAATGCTGCCAGCACCCAGGACGGCCCCATCCTACCTACTCCCTTCTTTCTCTCTGAAGGGGGCCGCTTTGACTCCAGCAAGATGTTGGAAATGGCCATCTTGTTTATCAAGAAGATAATGGGTATTGAAATTATGGTCTTTTTTTTTTTTTTTTTTTTTGGTTAGAGCTTGCACAACAAGAAACATGAAAGCATCAACGTGGATAAATCTCAAACAAGTGACATTGATGATGAGTCCTGGGGTCCGACTTTAACTGTCTCACTTATTGGCTGTGTGGCCTCAGGAAAGTCACTCACCCTCTCTGACCCCGGATTCCGTCACATGTAAAATAGAAATAGGAATATTCCTGTATCATCTATCAATTGCCACAATAATGCTAGATACTGAAGTACCCCAAAACATAGTGGCTTTAGATGTTACCTTTTGTTATTGCTTACATTGGGTTGTCTGGGCAGTTCTCAGGGCTTGGCTGAGCCAGCTCTTGTGTCTGTGGGCAGATTCAGGGCGGGTAGGTGGTTCTGATGGTGCCGGCTGGCTCTCGCCTGTGTCTGGGGGTCAGCTGGCCATGAGTGGATCCCGGCAGGCCTTGGCTGGGATGACTCATCTGTGCGCCAGGACTGTCCTATCTTCTAGCAGACTAGCCCAGGCTGTTCTTCTGGGGCTGGGCAGGTCTCCAAGAGACGAGCAAGAGCGTGTGGGGCCCCTTGAGTCCTAGACTTGGAACTGGTGATGTCCCTTCTGTATTCAGTGGGTCTGACAAGTCCAGGGCTGAGCCCTGACTCAAGGGGTGGGGAAATAGGTTCCACTTTTTGATGGGAGAAATTGCAAGAGTGAGAATAAACAGAAGGGGAGAGAATGTTTTCTTTTTGGTTGTTTTTAGAAAGGGAGAGAAAGAGAGGTGGGAGAGGGGCAGGAGGAGAGAGAATCTTAAGCAGGCTCCAAACCCAGCACAGAGCCTGATGTGGGGCTCAGTCCCCAGACCCTGAGATCATGACCTGAACCGAAACCAAGAGTCAGGCGCTTAACTAACTTCACCACCCAGACGCCCCTATTTCGCTTATTTCTGATGTTCAAAGCAATACATGTTCTCTATTAAAAAACTGGAAAGTAGGGGCACCTGGGTGGCTCGGTCATTAGGC